CCCCCCCCCGGCAGCTAGTGGGGGGGGGGGGGGGTTGCCCCCATTTGACAGATGGGTAAACCGAGGCTCGGAGCCATTAAGGCTGTACAAGCGAGCTATTGTCAGGGCTGGAAGTGGAACTCAGGGAGCATCAGGGTCCCAGCTGATGCATTTTGCCCTGCTGAGCCTCACATCCAGATGTCCTCGAACTCAGTAGGAGTTTGGCTCTGAATCCCCACAACGACTTGGGCCACATTTGCAGAGATTTCATTTCAAACTTGGAGCCAGGCAGAACAGCCTTAAATCCCCTGCTCTGCTGACCAGCTCGCGCAAGGTGTTGAGCATCCTTCCCTGGTCCCGAAGTAACCTGGCATTGCTTGCAGGCGCTAGCCTTGAACTCCTCTGCACTCGCGAGCAAGCTCCCCTAGCTGTCTGCTGGAGCTCCTGTTGTGATCAGTTTGTTCTCCTGGAAATAATAAGCATGGGGAGCTAATAAAAGGCCTGCTTGCTTCACTCGGAGAGACTGGCTGTCACTCAGACACCTTCTTTCCCTGTCAGCTGATGAGGGACAACCTGCATAATGGAGTTTGAACCTCAAACCGTTTGATTGTGTCAAACAACAATCGTAATCTGAAGCCAAGGGGCTCCAGTGCATTGTATATTTTCTGAGACTTGTTTGCTGCTGTCACCAGGCTAAACAAGTCATCATTTCCGGGGATCCAAAAGGCTTTTAATTAGCATGCAGGCATGCAGAGAAGAAAGGGAGGGGAGGGGGATCCTGCCATCCTTTGCCATGTTGGTACTCACCGCTCTTGTCACGGAGAGGAATCTGTCATAGCTAATCAGGACAATGTTGAAGACCGAGGAGGTGCAGAGCAGATAATCGGTGACCAGCCAGAGCTTGCAGAAGGTTTTCCCGAAGGTCCACCTCCCCGTCAGCACATAGGGCACGTAGAAGGGGATGCAGAAGGCACCTGCGGGGAGAGGGGGCATGGATGTTGAAACCAGGCGGCTCAGGGCACCCGCCCCTGGCTTGTGACCCAGCTGTGAAGGTGCCAGCCTGTTGCCGAGGGGCTGGAAACACACTGCACCGATGAACGGGAGCACAAGGTTGGGCAGCCCCCGGCTCCATCAGGTCCAGTCTCACAGCGGTTAAAGGGGCAGAAAACGGAGTTGTTTCTTGGGCAGGGTTGAGCTCCTCTCAGCCGTGGGGCTGGACAGGACCTCCGCGGGTCCCATGTAGTCCATCCCCTGCCTCAGGCAGCATCCAGCCCTCCGCACCCTCCGGGATCAAACCCTCCAGCATCAATCCCAGGCAGGATCAAACCCCCCAGCATCCAGCCCTCCGCACCGTCCGGGATCAAACCCTCCAGCATCAATCCCAGGCAGGATCAAGCTCTCGAGCACCCACCCCCGCAGCAGCAGCGCCTCCAGGACGCCCCCTCCAGCCCCACGCCCGCGGGACGGTGCCCGGGCGGTGCTTTACCCACGCAGAGGTCGGAGAGGGCCAGGTTGAGCAGGAAGCAGTTGTTCTGCGAGCGCAGGCTGGAGTCGGCGGCGAAGGCGAGCAGCACCAGCGCGTTGCCCACCACGGTGGCGGCGACCAGCAGCGCCATGAGCGCGCCC